TGGGAGGAAAAGCATTTTGTGCAGTGGTGTTTCCTCTGGTGAACCTGGGGAGAAGTGGCGCTCTGATGCAGCTGAGGCCAAACAAGGACGAGCTGTGAGATCAGACGAGGGCCACGTGGTTTCTAACAGGTCCTCAAAGCTCCCATCAGCCCCTGCGGCCCACAGATAAGACTGCTGCTGCTGATTGAGAGTGCTGATTAGAATCGGCACTATGCACATAGCTGTGGATTCCAGCTGCTTCGATGTTGTATTAACTGGCATTAACTCAGCCAGTTAATGCGAGACAAATCCAGCTGCTCATTAAAACTTTCTCGTTTGATCAGAAAAGAAAAAATTGGTCCAAACACCTGAAAGTCCTGAAAACACATTGTGAATTCTGTCTCGAGTCTACGGATGTATCCGTGTCTCTCCGTGGGGCTGATGCTGAGCGGACAGCTCCTGAAGCTTTTGAGGTGTCGGAATGTGGAAAGCTAACAACGTCCCTCTCACCGCTAGGCTAAGTTATTTTTAGCCAATTACAAGTTGAATCTGGTAGTTGAGGTTGTTAGCTAAGATACTGTCACTGGAAAATTGTACTTAGTAGTCAGTATAAGCTTTAATGATATAAGTTTACATGTGATAGAATACTGCATGATGACCTTTTCCTTGCTTAGAACTGATCTTTATAAAACTTGTTCTGATATTTTTCTCTGAATCTTCCCACAGCGATAGAAAGAAGCTGAACAAGCAGTTCTGAGCTCTTACCAGGAAAAAGGGCTGCTTCCCACATTCCAACACACACACACACAATCACACACGCACATCACGTATCAACATTCCACTGAACAAATGTTTTCATTTTTCTTGTGTATAAATAAAGACAAGTGCAAGAACAGAGCGCTGATCACAGGGCCCCCACTCTCGTGTGAGCGCTCTGTGAGCGCCCTGCAAGTAAAAACTACAGCGTGTGTGTGTGTTCACTCTTAGACTCTCAGCTGAAGAAGTGTCGTTTAGAATAAATCTCTTGACAGATACCGCCATTAAGAAGCAGCACAACTAATGTGTCTATGCGAGCTCATTTACATTTTATTTTTTGATGCACCTTCTCAGATTAATTCTCTTCGTGTCGTGCCCAGGGCTGGACTGGGACAAAAAATCAGCCCGGGCATTTTGACCAGAGACCCCCAGGTATGATAGGAAAAGCCATAAAGAATGAAAAAAAGCCACTGTTGTGACAGTGATGTACAGTCTTGTTGGTATATGTATGATTTCTATACATTTTATATCAGATAAAAACTTTGGTTGTAAGATTCAGATAATTATTAAATGAAAGCGAGACATTTTAAATGAGAATAAGAAAGAAAAGTATTTCTTTGTGCCCCCCTTTCCCTGTTAATGCCCTACATGGACCCCTGGCAACACTTTGCTAGACCCACCCCTGCACAGTTACCAGCTGTCAGCTACTTAGAAAAGGATCCTGGTGTTATTTCTCAGAAACAGTTCATAACCTAACTGCTGTTGTTTAGCTCAACATCCGCTGGTTTCGTCTTTCTGATCAAAGTAGGAGATAAACAAGAGAGAAAAGCTGATCAGCTGATCATTGATCAGTTTCATGATTGAAGTGACAACAGAAGAGGGAGGGGGAGAGAAGGAGAGAGAAAGAGGCCCTGCAGCGTAAAGACCAGAATAACTCCAGCTTTGTGTCTTTTTCCATTCTAGCTGAAGTACAAGACAAACTGTGTTTAATTCATGAAATGTGTATTTTCTCTGAATACGAGACGAATCCGTTTTTTTACAGGACGGTTGGCAGCTCTACTAACTAACCTTATGAATAAAATAAAGTTCACTATCAGTAATGTCACAGCACCCACCCAGCTGTATGGAAACTCCATCATACTAGTTTTCATTGTTTATATCGTTACAAACAAAACAACAACAACAATAAAAACCCCATCGGCTCATAAAAACTAAAAATCAGTCCAGCTATGATCGTGCCGGCACACGTGCCCAGGGTTGCCAACCCCTGATTTAGTGTCTTCGTTGTCACGTTGTCTCTCATTCATGGTTGTGTGTTTCTTCGAGTATTTTCTAGTCTAGTTTTGTATCACCAATCAGCAAATAAAGAATAAAGCTTGTTTTTGAGTTTATATTTTGTTCCTGAAAGTCTGAATTTGGGTCCTTTCCTGCCTGCCCACAGCCGCTCCATGACACATAAGATAATAGTTGAACCAGACAAGGAAGTGTGCTGGGGGAAGCAGATGGCTGCTGAATGCCACAGAATTCTTAAGTGTAAGAGAAAACTCAGGTCAAATAGTAAAATATAGGAAGTGAGCAGGAGGCCTTTTATCATTATTTCATCATTCTTTCAGCAGAGTTCATGCTTGTAACTGTCATTGTGTTATTAAAGTGAAAAGCCACAGCTAACGGTGTGGAGGCTGCAGAGCAGAAACCCACACAGCTGCTGCAGGAGAGCAAGTTTTGATTGGCTGTCAACATCTTTTTTTCTCTCGTCTAATAACCACTGAGAACAGATTCATATCTGAAGCTGCACGCTCATCAACCCTCCTCCCTCTTTGTACTTTAGATTTTCTGTTGTTGTCGGTAAACCTTTTCCCCACTGAGCCCTCCACCCACACACAGCTGAACTCAGTACAATCACCCACCTGAGTCTTTGTCTTAAAATGACACAGAGGAGTTTCTTTAAAAATCAGGTGTTAGTGTTGTTAATATCTGTCAGGACGGTTAGAGGAGCATCATCATTAAAGATGTTGTCACTGTCACATCAACTCAAACTTGTTTTGTATCAGTGCAGCAGTCTATTTAGAAAAAAAACAACGTTTATTGTTGTTTTTCAGAAAGTCAAGAGCACTCGTATAAAATATTAACACATGAAGAGAGAAATTCATTTTTAGTCATATTCCTGTTTCCTGCTCATCATGGCCTGTGGTGAGCGAAAACTTAACATTGTTCTCAGACAAACAAACATCAGAATTGATGTCAAACATTAGAAGCAAAGTCTAAACAGTTCTGGCAAACAATGATCAGCAGAGAGAGTCAACAGCAGCAACCGTGGCTCAGGGGGTTGGGAATCGCATCTGTAACCGGAAGGTCGCTGGTTCGATCTCTCTGTCCTGGTCGTTGTGTCCTTGGGCAAGACACTTTTCCCTACCGCCTACTGGTGTTGGCCAGAGGCGCCGATGGCGTGATATGGCAGCCTCGCTTCTGTCAGTCTGCCCCAGGGCAGCTGTGGCTACAACTGTAGCTGCCTCCACCAGTGTATGAATGAATAGTGGTATTGTAAAGCGTTTTGGTTGCCTTGAAAAGTGCTATATAAATCCAATCCATTGTTATTATTTGTAAAAACCAAGCCAGCAGAGATTCTGCTGGAAACACAGTCGACTGCAGCTTTTTGTCACTTCCACATGCAGCCTCCTGCTCTCCTCCACTTCCAGGTGAAGTGAAATTCATCTTCAACCAGCTGTCTGGATCTCTTTGGACTTCCTGTGACTCACCACGGGATGGCGCTCCTTCTCTTTGAGTCTTCATTTTAAACGTTATGCTGTGAAGAAAATGCCTTTAGTCAGACGGCAGTCTTATCTGTGGGCTGCAGGGATTAATAGGGCTTCATGGTGTGACCCGTGGTAAGTACCTATTTAAAATAGGACAGAGCCGTAGGCGCACAGTCAGTTTAAAAGAGTTTAATTTTTAATACAAAATAAAAGAAACAGTGTAACAGCAGCACCTAAAAACAATTAAAAACGTTACCTTATTAAAAATGATAAAACTGTACGATTGCCCGTGAGACAGGACAAGCGCTGCGGGGAACAGGTTAAAAACAAATCAACATAGCACACAGGTTAAAAATGGACGGCAACTCACACATGATCCCAAATGGGTAAAACACTATAGAAAAAAAAAGGCAAATCTTCGGTGCCGTCTTCACTCGGGCCCCCCGCTGTGCATGCAAGAGCGGGGAGACAAAAAAAGGATTTGTTTTCCCTGCAGCGCCTTCACCGCCTGCGAATCAATATCTGTGGTGCCTACTGATACAGAAAAAAGTAAAACAAAAAAACAAAACCATCGACAGCCGCAGCAGTCAGTCTGTCGACTTACACCAGTTTAAAACAAATTAAAACACACTGATGTGTCGGGTCCTTTGCCCGCAGCCAGAAATCCACCTGGCAAAGCAGCAGCTCGGTACTCTGTGAATAAAAGGCAGGAGATCACTAGCTGGACAATAAAACACAGGAATATTCCTCCACTGAATTGGTTTTGTTACCTGTCCACAAGTTCGTGTCACACCCTAATAAATGTGGGTGAGTGGCGATGAAGTCCACTATACCGTTCTTACGGGAGCAATGTTTCCCACCTACAAGGGTGCAAATAACTGTAAACCTCTGCCAACAGCCAGAGCTCAAGTGGTACATTTTTGTGTAACCTACCGTTCTAACAGAAGTTTAGGGGAGGACGCGTATCAGACTTTCATAGTTAAGAAACACCAACGTGCCCAACTCGGACCAAGCGCTCGCAGCTTCAGGTTTGCAAATGAATACCCAATTGCCCACACCTGCGCTTATGAAAGGAGCGAAGACCAGCTCCGCCCACCAGGGGCGGTCCCAAGTCTCCAGGTCTCACCTGTCACAATGGTCTCTCCTTTGAGTCCATTAAAGTTCATTTGTCAGCTGTGAGTTGAGGATTTGAGCTGTTTCTCTCACAGGTGAAGAACACAGATCCTTCCTGGAATCATTCTTGAAGCAGAGTTCATGCTTGTAACTGTCGTTGTGTTATTAAAGTGAAAGCCACAGCTAACGGTGTGGAGGCTGCAGAGCAGAAACCCACACAGCCCGTCTGCTGCAGGAGAGCAAGTTTGGATACAGTCAGTTTGTGCTTCACTCACACGGGTTGTTGTTGATCACACAATGAAAGTAGAATCAAACTCTTCATCTTCAAATCTTTATTGTTCACACAAACACAACTACACTGTTATTGCTGTTTGTTCATAGCTGGACTGGCCATCGGGCATACCGTGCAAATGCACGGTATGCCCGATTCACTCCCTGTTTCATTCAGTTTATACCATTTGGTCTTCAATTAGACTCCATCAGAACATTTTCACAAGAACTTTCATTTCAGCATAATCCCTTTGATTCAGGTTGTATAGAAATACTTTTTCTTTAAAACTCAGTTTCATGGTCACAATATACTCAATACAAGTTATTTTTATAAAATCATATATTTGTAAAGTCAGACATCGTTTGGCTTCTCCACGTCTTTCATTCTCTCCCATCTTTCCACACATGCCAAGCTCTCAGCTTCAGGCCTGTTTTTAGAATCATCATTAGAAATTATATTTTCTTCTTATTATTAGTTTTTTTTAATATCAGTTAAACTTATACCTGGTTATGTTTTTATCAGTATCAAGCAATTAAGCACAATTAACCATCAGTAAAACCACATAAACTGTGATTCTGTGTTTAATCATTAATACACTTGATACCTCTTAGTCAAAAACATGTATAATCATGGGTTGGTGACACATTTCTTATCTTCCACATTCCTGCAGACACAGAACTGCCGAGGTTGAAGCTGGATCATGTGCACGCACACATAATATTCAGACATTAGAACAGCCATTTTCACTATTAACATATGTAGCAAAATTATACTTTAATTTATCTTTGATTAAGAATTAAGATCTTTGGCCATTAGCAAATGTGGAAAAGCTCTATTTTAACACTGATCATTTTGGATAGTGGGGAGGACACAGGCACAGACAGTACAGGTTTTATTTACAATATATATACATGTGGAGGGGAATCCGGGGTTCCACAGGTCCAGGAAAAGGAAAGTTCAGGAAAAGTGAAGGTTCTCTCACACTCACACTCCACGATTCTACACAGCCAATCATTCATGTCCCAAGCAGCAGGTAGGTCACAGGTCCAGGGAAAAGTGTCTCGCACAATCATCGCGTGATGAGAGGATCTGCGTCCTGGCCTTAAATGGCAAACACAACAGCAGCGTAATGGGAGACAGGTGCGTGAAGCCCACAGTGAGCTCCGCCCAGTCAGAATGACGAGGAAAAGACAGAGCAAAACAATAAACACATGTGGCCTTGTGGGGCCAGCCAGGCAGACACAGGGACCACAACAGATTACACTGATTACACTACCCTGCTACAGATAGACGATACAGTGCCAACGTCACAAACAGAGTTGGTTGGAGTCACACTCATACAGACACTTGGACACCAAAACGAACAACATCCAGAAAGAAATACCTACAAGCTTTTGTATCAGTCCCTTCAAACATTTTACTAAAAACCAGAACGACTTCAGTATCTGTAACGAATTTGGGCTGTTTCATCAACGACTACATTTGTAGGCAAATCAACATCAGAATTCACACTTTTGTGAAACCTCAGATCAACAGAACCACTGATCTGAAATCAGCTCTCACCTTTCACAGTAACCTGAACAGTAGCTTCAATAATGCCCAGACTAGACATGGCCACACATGTGTAGTTAGCTGACTCTTGAATGTTGGTGAGCTCCAGCACACTGCGCCCTAATGGCATCTCCTCTCTGGACAGGTCCACCGGGCCCATGGTCCACTTGATATATGGCATTGGTGAGCCCCCTGCTACACATGTTAGACTGACACTGCTGCCTGCCATCACTTCCTGGTTGGAGGGTAAAACGGAGAATCTGGGCGGGACTCTTCGTGCTAATGACATAAAAAGAAAAAGGAATATGTGAGGTCATTATAATGCTTTTTGGGACGTTATGAATAGTTACGCCCATACAGGGTAAAAGCTAACTCAGAACAGCTGACAGAATGCAGGGCTGATCGCTTCTGTCCAGATGTGCAGACAAGCACAAAGAGAATAATGGAATATCATAACAAGCACGTTTAAAGCAGGTCTCACAGCAGAGTGTGTTATTGGTGGGCGTGAGAACAGCGTTTGATCACTCATCCATAAAACAGCCTCTATGATACACGACTGTATGCTTTTAACGAAATCATGAAATGTTAGCCGAGCCCATCTCTTTCTTACCAAAACACTAATAAGCATTTTATAATCAATAATGAGTGATTTGTCTCCCTGTGTCAGGGGCAGCTAGAGTTACATGAGAAGATGCCATTAAAACACTGTCTGCACATTCCCACAGTCGGGCTTAAACCAAACCATGAGGGGCGAGGGTTTAAAGAGTTGTGTGATTTCATGAGATATCACAATGACCTTATTGATTAACTCCACAAATGAGAGAAACATTTTACCTCGTACGTAGAGATTGGCGGGACCAGAGTAACGCACACCAAGGCTGTTTGTGGCGACACATTCATATTTCCCCTGATCCGAATCCTCACTGTTCTCAATTTGCAGCGCTCCTGTGTAGAGAATTAGTGAATTCAGCTGTTTGATAGTGACTTGCTAGAGAGTCAGTAGCCAACTGTAACCCAGTATAACCCAGTTCATGCTCAGACAGGATTGCAGGTTTGGCAATAAAATACTTAAAGCAATACAAACATCCAGCAGATCAGGAAAGTTATAAAACATGTCTTCTTCACCTTTCTTTGTTAAGAGATGGTTCATTGCAATGAAGCTGCATTTAAAAAAGAAAAAAAAACCTTTCCTGTGCTCTCATTTTCCCCAACATGAATTTCTGAACGCCAGTGATTGTTTTGGAAGCGCTGTTTTAATTTTCATTAAACATGAATGTATGTAGTGTTTCTGTAATGTTTGAATCCAGTTTGTGCACCCTCCCAGTCCAGCAAGAAGAGAGGATGTGTGCTTCTGAAATATCTTTGGCTGCAGACACTCGTGCTGAGGAAACAGACTGTATGCAGATCCATCCATTTCAGTTTACAGTGAGTCTGCTCACACCTACAGACTAACCTCATACTGCATAGCGTGAACTTTCCATTAATGTGACAACGTGAAGATGGAGGCTTCATGACTGAAAGAGCCTCTGGTCAGTTTTCTCTTCTAACTCAGCACCAATCTGAACTTGTCACGGTCCTGAGTTATTATTTTTATTAATCTGTGACTTCATGCGTTTTCATTACTAATGTTTTGGTTTCTGTTTTAGTGCTCTAGTCCTTCTTTGATCTGTTAAGTCTAGTTCTTAGGTTTCATTCTGGCGCCTCCATGTTTAGTGTGGGTTCAGTTCTGTCCTCACCTTTGTTCTTGTTCCTCAGTCAGTCGTCTCTCATGTTGCTCCTGTCCCTGTACTCAGTGTTCCCTCTGTGCTGTGTCTAGTGTGGGCCTCTGTGTCTGTCGTGTACTTCCTGTTTTATTTTGACAGTCCTGCTTTATGTTCGGCCTCTGTTCCCCATCTCGTCTGTGTAATTAGTCCCAGCTGTGTTTCCCCTCTCCTTTTCAGACACACACTTTAGTAACAGAGTGTGTGTGTGTGTGTGTTAGAGAGTCAACAAAGCAACAAGTCTTTTATACATGTGGAAAATGTCGTGTGCAGTGACTCAGAGTTAGCAAAAATACAGACATTCTGTACTTAAGTAGAAGTACAAATACTACTGTTAAAAACTACTCCAGTAAAGTACTGGTTCAACTTCTTTACTCTAGTAAATGTGCAGGCTCTGAGATGTACTCAAAGTAATAAAGTAAAAACTATCTGAATCAGAATGTCTTTATCGTCATTGTTGCAGGTACAATTAAATTAAAAGTGGTCCCCAATCAGTGCATGATCCATAGAAATACGAAAATATAAATAAAAACAATAAAACTGATTAAAAATCAATAAATAAATCCATAATAAGAATAGTATGAGCAAACATTCACATACACCTCCACACACACATGCCTCAGTCAGTGCATAGATCATTTCAAGAATGGCGTGATGGACATTTTTTGGTAACAGCATTCTGTTAGGTGTGGCTGTATGCAGACAGGAATAGGACCCAAGATGCAGACTCCAGAGACAGAACTTAAACCAAAACAGCTTTAATGCTGAACGCAAACATAACATAACTGGAACAAAACTCAAAATAAACTAACACCGGTGGACTGACAAAACACACAGCAAAATAAACGGTAGATCGCGACACGGTCACAGAGAAACACAGGGCTTAAATACACAGAGGGAGCAATCAGGGAATGAGTAACAGGAGGGAAACACAGCTGGGGCAAATCAGAACTGACGAGACCAAAGAGACTGAACACACTGAGATAAGACAGAGACCTTCAAAGTAAAACAGGAAACACATAACACAGACTGAACAAAGACACAGACTCGCACGCACTGTAACAGAGGGAACAGAGACGTGGCACCAGGACAGACACAGACACTGACTGGACACGGGGATATAGCAACTAAGGATACACAGAGACGCGAACTAGACAAGGGGATACAGCTGACAGGGGAGACAGAGCAGCTAGAGAAGACAGAGACATAAACCATAAGACAGAACTCAAAGAAACCAAAGACTAGAAAGTATAATTAATATCATAAACTCAAAAACATCCTAACACATTCAGATGTGTTATTGTGGTTGGAAAAAGCTGTGTTTGAGTCTATTTGTCCTTGCACTGATTGCTCTGTCCCGTTTCCACGAGGGCAAAGTAGGGTGTGAGGTATCTATTATATTGATCTGAGCTTTTGTAAGACAGCGGGTGTTGTGTAGATCTTCCAGCGTGGCGAGAGGGCAGCCAGTGATCCTTTGGGCGCTGTTAATGATCCCTTGGACTGCTTTCCTCTGAGCCACTGTGCAGCTAGTGTACCACATGCATATGCAATAGGTTAGTACACTCTGGATGGTGGCTCTGTTGGAGGACGTTTCTATTTTTGTGCAAAGCTAACTGAACCTTGTGCTATATTAACATAAGAATAAAATAATATTAGAATATGGGAACACAAATTTTAGTCTAACTTCTTTTAATTCTAATTATACTCGGCTTGAATCCGGAGAAAAAGAAGAAAAATGTATATCTCTATCTTCTGTTGCCTCCATTGTACAGGGGGCTGTGACTATAAACAGGAAAATGATTCGGGAAGAGCTTAAAGTGGATTCAGCAGGTGGGGGAAACCTAGAATCAGCTGTAGTGGCTCAGCGTGGGGAAAAGAATCATAACTCAGTCATTCGATTGAGAGGTCCAGTAGATTTTCTTAGTGTGCAGCTGACCTGCTGCTGTGGACGTACGCAGCTGAATTCAACCAGATGTCAGCAGATGTTTCATGAGTTGGCTGATTTCATCCTGTACACTGACAGTACGCTGTTTATGCTGTGTGTTTTCTAGATTGTATAAAGTTTCTATGAAGGTGGAATTCGGTGAATGATGACATAATGACATCAGTTGAACTCATGAATGAATCAAACAATGTCTGAAAATGCTGCTTATAACTGTGGAAACTTGAACTGCATTGGTGGCACAAAAGCCTGATCAGCTTCCAGCTTGAATCTTTTCCATCAGGTGAAAATGTCTTCATCTGTATATCTGTAAGGTTACAGACGCAGTCATCGCTGTCAAAGACTGCAGGAAACGTTATTCCAACATCCGCGTTACTTTTAACGTGGCAGCTGTCCTGATTTGACCAATAAAATTCACAAAAAGAATTCATGCAAATAATCAAAGTGAACTTAAATAAAACATTCATGCCTTTGATGGTGAAAGTGAATAAAAGAAATGTTACGGGAACAAAGATCTGAAAGCTGCTTTGCAACAATCTCAGTATGCCACGCAAATTCAAACCTTAGAGATATTAAATCAGATCATTTTAAAGTCTACCTGAGCGAAGCTGTTTGATGCGCCCGTCGCTGCTGCTGAGATTCACAGGAAGCATGTCCTTGAACCACGAGATCTCTGGGTCTGGGTCTCCACTGGCAGAGCACAGCATTGTGGCAGTTCTGCTTTTTTCAACAACTTTAAGCTGGGGGCCCATATCAATGAAGGGAAAGCCATGGGGGATGTTGTTCTCTGAAAAATTGCAAAAGGCAGGTTAGGATGTTGAGCTGGTAAAGACAAAGGCAGCAAATATATTTCAGATGCCACAAAATTAGTGCAAGAGCAGAAGATACCAAAGAGTGATACTTTAGATCTGCTGCTCTTTGTGATGAGGTTGGAAAGTAGAATTGTGTTTGTAACTGATGATAATGGTGAGTTATTAACAACACAAGGAGTCTGAAGTTTAGACAGAAGAAGGATCATTTCAGTCTGCCTGTGATGCTTACAAAGCTGCCTTAGGCTTACAGTACAGTAACTAACCAATAAGCCATCTTATGATAACCAACGTAACAGAACAACAGAATACAGAACTTAAACCAAAATTTATGATTCACGTTTTTTTCCCTAAAACACTGACCCTGAACTGATATCCTACTCTTTAAACTCTGGCACTCTCCTGGGTTTTTTTCTGGTCTTTGTTTGTTTGTTTGTTTGTTTGTTTGTTTGTTTGTTTGTTTGTTTGTTTGTTTGTTTGTTGAGGGGGGGGGGGGTCGCCGTATTTCTTATATTTTGATCATTTAAATCATGTGATTCTTCTAAAAGAAATTCTCCTGCTATTCTCCTTATTAAATGTGAGAAAACCACCATGGAAATCTGCATCTGTAAATCTGTAATTGTAATATGTTTGTCTGAAATAGGTCTCTCTTGTAAACGATGCACTGAGTCTCAATGTGACCTGTATACATAAATGTAAGCAAATAAAATAAAACATTTGGTCTTCATTGAAACTGACATACACATTTCATTTAGGTCAGTGGAAACCATAATCATTACGCTAATTATCTGTGGGTGTCACTATTCTCCACACACAGGACACCTGAGAAAACCCAGAGAAGCGCTGCTGCTTCACCTGCAGCTCAGCCATGAGACACACGTCCGGTCTGTGTGTTAGTGTCACATTCTTGTCTTTGTTTTGACACAGTGTTTAAACCAAAACAAAGTTTAACATTAAACTTTTTTACATTAAAAATGTTTTGTATAACGATGAAACACAATTTTGTGTGATCAGGTAACTGACTGAGCATCTCCCAAAATTAGGAAAAGGCCACTACTATGTTATAATGCTCACTATCTCAGAGACACCTCCAGCTCTTTAGAGTTTTACAGGACATCATGACTGTGCACATGACAACACAGTCTGTGATTCATTGTCTGTGATGCTCCTGTTGTCCTGTAGCAATGCTGAATCAAACTGTTTAACTCCTCTCTGGAGGAGAGGGAGGGGAAACAGGAGGACAAAGGAGGGGGGAACAACTAAGCTGTAGTGCCTCTTCACCTCACTGT